CATTTTGACCATTGGTAATGGTGGGAGTTGAAGTCTAACCCCTCTGGAGCAGCAGGAAAAGGAGAGCTGCTTTTGACCTCACCTTATGGAAGGCCTATATAGAGCAGTGTTTCTCAACCTTGGCGTGTGTGGACTTTAACTCCCAGAATTCCCCAGCCAGCATGCTGACTAGGGAATTCTGGGAGTTGAAGTCCACACATCTTAAAGTTGTCAAGGTTGAGAAACAGTGATATAGAGAGAGAAGCACAAACACTTATTAAAAGTGTTTTTCAGCCACATAAAACACCCTCTTCCTGGCCCAAATTTAGAACACATCTGGGATTGCTGGAATGTATAAAATAACAACTGCTAAATAACTCAGCAGCAGGTTTGTACAAGAAAAGGCAGGTATTCATAATCCTAAAGGCAAAAGATAGAAATCATAGAAATGTTGAACAATATTCTGAGGCAACTTCAGAAATAGAGCGTGTTGAAAAGGTGGGGAAATTCCCTAAATAAAAGACGCATCCAAACCTGGGCTACCTCCAACATTATACAACAGGATGTCTACACTCGTAACAGGAATTACCCCCACCCAACTTCTAAATCTGCTTAGGAAATCACCTGACTGTCAGCAGCAGATTTTGGAAGGAGAGGGATTCCAGAAGAAAGGGGAGAATCATTCAGCCAACATTATCTGTTCCCTTACCAATAAATGTCAGTGGATACAATCAATATTCCCTGCCTGGCCTACTTGGTATGCCAGCAAATCATTCAAAGGGGTGCTTCAAAGTGCCCATCTAAAAGCCTTGAATCATCCATTGCTTCTCAGAAGGTCTGGGTAGCTGCCTGGAAGCCCTCCTGAGATCTTCACGGAACAGCAATTTCAAGAAGATCCAAAGGACTGTTTGGCTCATTGAATGATTTGCATGGGCCCAATGTCTGTTACAGGCAGCCACCAAATAGAACAGGGGCATTACTGTGAAAGAAATCAGATTTATTATGGGAAAGAGAATGTGAAATGTGTACATTCAGATTTATACAATTATACAAAGTAGACCTATGAATATACATATCCCTGCACTGAGTGTTATAATTACCCCTCGGATGGGGTGCCAGGAGTGGTTCTCACCTGAAATGTGTCTCAAAGAAGAATTTGGGTGACATTCTCATGTGTGGTGGAGGTTGCTCTTGCTGTTTTTAACTTACAAGTCAGGCATGTGTGAATGTCATTTTTCATGGATATCTCCTTCTCCAGAAGACTGCAACCTACCTGGCTATCTATGCTTCCATTAAATCCCAAGGAAAGACATCATGAAAGAAGTCCTTACAGACTTTTTTCAAACAGGAATAGTGGTAGCCCTCACCATTATAATAATAAAAATGAGAATGGAAGTATAGCAGGACAATCTCCAGGATTTAAACCGAACCAGTAATATCTGATAGCCTAGACCTCCTTTTAACATTGAACTGACCTGAAATTTGTGAGGTCATGTGACAGATGAATGTAACATTTAAGTAGGGAAAGTGGCTGGTAGCAATGCTAGTTTTCTTTCCTTTGTATAAGAGACTGTTGGAGATCAAAGGTATATTTGCAATACTTGTTTTGTCATCAGAAAATAATGCCCAATTAATAATGGGCTGTCCCTCTCCTGAAACTTCACCCATATTTTATCTCACTTTTCTGATCGCACAAATTTCATACCTCAATTTTCTCACACCCAGATGCCACTCAGAAGTGTTAATTGACCATTTAAGCAGAGATGATGAACCTGCAGCTGTCTCATCATTCAGTGTCCCAATTGTCTGCCTGTCCAAAGACAACATTTGACTAGTCCAGTTGCCTGCTGTCAACTCTTGGAGGGAGCATTGTTTAACATGTCATTTTCATGTCAGTAGCCAGACAGTGGGGCCCAGATCTCGATCTTGAAGCCTAGCCATAATGGCATCACAGTGAACACAGTGGGATTTACTTCTAAATAAATATATCCTGCTATCAAATCAGTAATCATTTTAAGAGAGAGATAGGCAATTTTTGGGGGCCAGGGAGGAGATGATCACTAGGTATCTGAAAGCTACAGAGGGCATAATAGTGAAGCAGGGGGTGGGCTGGGCTACATTTAACACATTATTTCCTGGAGTTTTTTTCATATATATATTTTAAATCATTCTGTGAAGTTCAAAAACATGATCCTGGAGATTCCAAGAAGCAAAAAAAATGAGACTGCTTCTGGCCTTGTTCGTGACAACCAGGTTACAAATTCAAACATCTTATTCCCATCCCATCCCGTCCCACCCGCAACCCAACTTTGTCTGTTCATGAGTTGATGTCATTTTGACAGTCATCAGTGCTTTCCCCTAGTCTGAATTCATATGATTATGACTTGCGTATCATTTAAAATTGTTAGTCATCCCATGCCAGGTCTACACCCTATAAGGAATTGATTGACATACGTAAGTCTCTAAGCATTTTTGTACTTCCTTGATTACAGACTGGGTAAAAGCCAGAGCTGTACCGTGGTATGACATGATGAACTCATTCTGTCTACCCCATGAACTGTGTGAATGTATACATGTATATACACATGTACACATGCATGTTCACACATTTTAAAAAATGGAAAGCATATGAAGCATATTGTTGGTATGCTTCCAGCTAATAATTACAAGAACATAAATGGTAACTGTTTCCTATGCCTAAAGCATGGAACATTACAACATCTACCAAGATGAAGAGTGAAGAAATCATACTAAATCATTTAGGGCAACACATTGCTCGTTTCCCCACCATTTCCCCTCCCCCCATATCCTCTGTCATTGATTAGGTAATAATTTCAGTTGAGGCAAGCTTCAATCAATTTGCAAAGCAACAGAACGATATATAAGTAGGCAGCACATCTCAAAGCAAGGATACCACTTGGCTTGGAAACAGAAATACAAGACTCAGGATGAGAAGCATCTGTCTCATGCTCTTCGGTGGGGCAATAGCTTTGGCTTTGCCCGTAAGACATGAGGAAGAAAAAATGGAGCTTATCCAGGTAAAGGGAGATGCAAATGGAAGTATATAATGACTGTATAATGCAATGTAACTAGATATCTATAAAGTATTATAAATAATTTAAAAAGATAAGCAATGCTATTATTAATTATCTAATCAATAATATTGTTTTTTTATTTCCCAAGGGGGGGGTGTGTGTGTACACACACACACACACACACAAGCATGCATACATATAATTATTTTGTTATCTCCCAGAAGTATATAAAATATTCAGAATCAATGAAGATCAAGAAAGGTGAAAAAGACATACAAAAAGCCATTTCTTGCAAAGGTTGTAAGCTGATAGCTTCAGAGAATGTAGAAGTATTTATTTATCTGGAGATCTGGTATGGCACAATAAAATGTTTTAACTGGATCTCAGGCTATGTTTTATATTTATATTTATGAATAAACAATCTAAAATATAATGGAAAACATAATTGTTTTCAAATACTAAACCATTTTCTTTCAAAGAGCACTTATGAATAAGAGTTGATCTATTCACACCCATCCTATAGGGCAGGAAGTATGATGGACAATTAGAATGATGAAGAATGTGGGAAGATCTGTCCTGATTTTTACATTCAAGTCAATGCTACAATGGAGTAGAGAAAGCAGCTAATGTTCTTATCATCTACAGTATCTCTAGTTTGCTTATTGTTGAGTCTTTTTGTCCTAGAATTTCTTATCTCTCATAAAATTTGGAGCAAGTACAACAAAACGGATGTGCTCATCATGACCTTAAATAACCAGCTACACATTTGACCAGAGACTTCTAAATCATTCTAAAATGTAAGAAAATTAACTCATAGATGTATACGGTTTTTTTTCTCTTTCAGAAATACCTAGAAAAATATTACAACTTTACATCAGATGGGCAAAAAGGTTTTAGAGGCAGAATCAGCAACCCCATGACAAAAAAGATCAGAGAAATGCAAGCATTTATTGGATTAGAGGTGACAGGAGACTTAGATTCCAATACACTGCAGGCAATTAAAAAACCCAGATGTGGAAACCCAGATGTGGGCCAATTTGCCTTCTTTGCAGGTCAACCCAAGTGGCAGAAGAAAAATCTAACCTACAGGTAATCTTTCAACTCAGGTTCTCAAGGGCAAGGTTGATGCAACTCATAGAGAGCTGAAAGATTGAAAGGAAAACCTCCCTTTGAATTTGTGTCCCATTTATTTTTTCAAAGGATACTGAACTATACACCAGATATGGATAAAGCTGATGTTGACAAAAGCACTGAGAAAGCTTTTAAAGTTTGGAGCCGAGTTACACCTCTGACATTCAACAAAGTTTCAGGGGGCAATGCAGACATCTTGATCTCTTTTCGTTCCCGAGGTAAATAAGCTATTATACTTATAAAGTGTAATCTGATAATATGTTGAATGCATAAAAGTCATATGGAAATATTTATTGCATTCATAATTCTTACATCAGGTCTAGGCAACTTTTCACTTGCCAAATGGAATATGTCTTCTACCAATATCATACAGATTTTCTAACTATTGGATATCAATCCTACATCTCAGTTTAGAATACTAGAGCTTGAACAGCAACAACTTAGAAGTTATTATGTCCTCATGCATAGTTTGCATTTAGCATTTGTTTTCCTAGTGCACAAGTTTGTATTAGAATTCCAGTTTTTTATTACTATAATTACCCCAAAGATTGAAATGAAGCTGATCCCTCCCTATAAAGAAAAATAGACAGAAACAAAATTATAAGCACAAACAGCTTGTGCAATGTGGTGTACCTACATGTAACCCCATTTATGCAATTAACTGATCCCCCTTTCTCTTTGCAGAGAGTTTCTGATGAAAAATCCTGAAAAACTTGTATTTCCTTACCTTTACAAACTATCTTGTTAAAATCCATGATCGTGTTATTTTTCCCCCCAGTAACTGGCAAAATTGACAATGATACTCTATGGATGATGTTTGTTTTCTGGCTGTGAGCCCATCACGTATGTCTGTGTTCAGTATCTTCAACCATCAGACAGAGTTCCAAAATTAAGTCATTAAGTCAATTGTTAAAATCCTTCTGATAGAGAGAATTTCAATTTATTTGATCCTTCTCAGTTCTTCTGCTGAAGCCAAGCACAACTCGACACTATCTCAGTTTTGCTTAAATTTGATGACAAGCAAAGGGCAGAAAGTTGGGTATTATTGAAGTGTAGATGGCATATTACGGAAAAGCTGTTACACAAAAACACATAATAATTCATCTCAGGAACTGAAACAATGTCTGAGATGGGACAATAAAACATTTTTTTCTGTTATATTTAGAACATGGGGATTTCAGTTCCTTTGATGGACCTGGTGGCACCATTGCCCATGCCTTCGCTCCTGGTGCCGGTATTGGAGGAGATGCCCATTTCGATGAAGATGAATTCTGGAGCAGTGGCTTAGAAGGTAATTATAAAGATATAAGATGTAAGAAAATTTTGACAAGATCATGTTAAAAAGTTGCTCTTAAGCATCCTTGTCCCCAAGAACAAAAATAAAAATTTTATAGTGACAATATACCACAACATGGTGATAGCTGTGATCAAAAAAAGTTTCCTCTTTATTATAATTGTAGTGGTTTAAATCAATAAAAAACAAAGCTTGTACATATCGGAAATGTTATTATAGGAGATTTCTGACTGTAGATAAATAAAACAGCAAGCAACACCCTAATAATAAAAGCAGGAGTTGGCATGGGACAGGAGCTACAAAAAATAAAAATAGTTAAAATGGCAATCTTGCCTTTAGATTTCATCATATGTCACATGAAGATGCAGAGATCTCATTTCAATGTTTTGGCAAGAACAACATTCTCCTAAGAATAACAAAATGTGATGATTATGTAAGATTTCAACCAACATTTTTAATGAAATTTTAATTTAATTTTGGAGTCTCGTAGGTGTCATTGGAGGATATTATAATTGCTTTGGTTCCTGTAGCTGGCATTTTGCGAATTTGTTAGCAAAATAATAATAAAAAAAAAAAAACAGAAAGAAAGTGGGAATGTAATCAGAGCTAGAAAAAGGAAGTTGTATGAATATATCTCTCACCACAGAATTCTAAATGCCATACAACCCCATTAGAACTTGTGCTGGCATCCAGAACACTGTTTCAAAAACTGAAATGTGCTCATGAGTTTTGAAACTCCAAGTCAAATCCACACCTTCCTGAAATGAAGTGGTTTCTTATAACTTCCAAGCAGTATTAACATGCATAGAATGATTCAGCAATCATTTGGGTGGCTGTGGAGGAGGACCATCAAAATGCTGATGCTTTATTTTCAACAGGGAGATGCAGGATGGGGCATTAATGTCACACAAGTGGCAGGCCTAAGCTTTTTTGGGTTGGGAGGTGTCATTTAAGAGATATAAGCCTGTACAAGTCTTCAATGTGCCTTGTTTCTTTTGTTTTCAGCTGAAAAAAATAGTGAATATCTCCAATTAGTGAAATTTCCAATATTCATCTGTATGACACCAAGATGAAGCAGTAAAATCTCAGGAGCAATAGAAGCAATTAAAAAAAGAAGGGGTTGGGAATTCATGTAGCTCATGTGACTGGGATTGACCATCCATGAGTTACCCAGATCCATTCATAGCCATCACTGTGACTTTTTTTTCTTTAAAAGTGTTCCTGTTTCTTATCTGGAAAAACAACAAGGAAGCAACAGTTAACAACTATTACGTAGTGTTGACTGCACCTAAGATTTAGAATGTCTATTTATAATATGATGTTTTTTAATCTCCCGTGTAGGTTCCAACTTATTTTATGTTGCTGTTCATGAATTTGGCCATTCACTTGGACTCCTGCATTCCCAGGATCCTAATGCTGTAATGTTTCCAGTGTATAAGGACCCTGAGGAAAATCAACAGACTCTATCTCAGGATGATATTGAAGGCATCCAGTATCTCTATGGTAATTTAGAAAATGCTTATAGTCTAAAACAGTGTTTCTCAACCTTGACAACTTTAAGGCGGATGGACTTCAACTCCCAGAATTCCCCAGCCAGCCAAGGTTGAGGAACACTGGTCTATATTGTAACCTTTAACAACTTGTGAACTGAGAGAAAAGTCAGCTCAGACTCAGTTTTCTAAAATGTCTGCATCTTTTAAGTCACCTCATATCAGCATGTAGATAATGAAGTATCAGCTTTTCCTCAGCCTAGTACCCTAGTCAGGACTTCAACTTCCAGTATACCTCTGGAGGTTACTGGATTCTGGATAGCTGCTTTATGCAAAACTTTATGTATATTATATGCCTAGCCACATAGGGAAGGGGGTTATTTTTTTCCCCCTGCTAATTTCATGCATCTGACATTCTTTCAGGAGCATCATCAAACCCATCTCAAGACCCAGTAGAAGAGGATGAACCAAGAAAACCCTCCAGCCCAGAGAAACCCGCATTACCATCTGCTTGCAATCCTCACTTGACATTTGATGCTGTGACCTCTTTCCGGGGAGAAATAATGTTCTTTTGGAATAAGTAAGCCTGTAATCTTCAACCAGAATCATTATCTTCTCACAAAATTACTGCACGCATGCACACACACACTTCTAATGTGGAGAAAAGATTTGTTAAAGTGTGAACTCTGGTTATTTAAGATGTAATAAACTGGCCTTGGGAGCTGGAAGAGGTGATCCAGGAATTCCCTCATCTAAATATTGGAGAAATTTGGTGGGGAGGGTGAAGCAAGCAAAGGGCAGAGCCTGGTCAGAAGCAAACTTCAGAACATCCATTCCTCATCTCACTCCCCCTTCTTCCTCTTCCTGAGCACTGCTTTGCTAGCAGTGGTATGCAGGGAAGGGATGCAACTCTTACTGGAAACCTGAACTGATCTCCTGCAGAGGGTTTCGAAAGGTTATGGACAATTATGTTGATGGAAATATGCAAGAACCATTACCTAAGGAAAAGGGGCTGAAACATGTTTTAAGTCCTGAGGAACGAGATAATAAGTGGAAGTGACTCAGGCAGATGCCTCCTTGATTCACTGGGTTTTAAGAAGGAGGAGATATGTCAGTCTTGCCAGGTAGGCCAGACAGGAAACATGACCAGATAAGCAAATTCTACTTTATTGTAAAGCTACATTAACAGAATCTTGCAAGTCTGAAAGTATAATTCTCCCGCTGTCTCCTTTACAGCCCAAGAAAGTAGGTCCCTTTTCAGCCTCTTGCCCTACCCACCATCCAGCTGTGGGCTATGCCCTCTTTTATCTGACTGTTCTGTTGGCGGTGTCTTTTTGTCCCATCTACCAAGGTCTTTTCCACATACCATTACAAGATATAGCACAGTTAGACTTACAAGATCCTGTTATTATAACCAGTGTCAGTAAAAGTAGTTTTAGCCTTCCTGTGGAGTTCATTTTTCTGGCCTTATCCTAGTGGAGCTGACAGGTTTTGACTGATGATGATGATGATGATGATGATGATGATTTTATAGATTTTTGGTCAACTCAAGGCAGTGAACATAATACTCCTGCCTTTTATTTTAATGCAAAAGTTGTGTGAAATCATCCTGAGGGCTGCATGAAGCCAGAGGATAACAGGTTGCTCATCCATGATCTGCAGTATTAAAAACTTAATAATCAATCCTAATATCAAATAATGTCCTGAATGCCCTGAGAGCATTCAGGTATTTCTTTCACACCATTTCATTTCATTTTTCTCTTTTTTAACTCCTGTCTCTCTCCACTTAAGAAAAAAAAAATGCTGTTGCCAGGGCTTGAAATTTCAGATGTTAAAAGTATTTAAAAAAAAAGAAAGAAAAAGAAATGTTATCATAGGTGCAGTGTTTTAAAACAAATGTGTGTTTTTTAATAGATATTTTTGGCGAAAACTCCCCCAGTACAGACAGATTGATTTGAATCTGATTTCTGAATTTTGGTCATTTTTACCATCTGGAGTTGATGCTGTTTCTGAAAATAATGAGAAAGATGAGACATTTCTTTTTAAAGGTAAGCTATTATTATATATACTAGGGCTCTCCTATGCTTTGTATTTGATTCAAAAAAAGTATTTTCTTGAAAATCTGAACAAGAAAATAGTATTTGTCTGTGACTCTTTAAAGTAGCCACTTCTTTTCCTGGAATTGTGTGGCAGTCTTCTGCAGCTGCAGGGGAAACCTTTGAAAAGATACAGCTGCTTTAAAGAGTTGCAAACAGGGGCTAAGTTCATGCCCTCATGCTCCCTAAAGGATCTTTTGGGAGTCAGATCCAAAGTGCTGTAACAGAGTTGCGAATTCTGCAGTGAAAGTACCAATTTAGCAAAAGAAGTAAGGATTTTGTATCACTTGGGGGAAAAATAATCTCAGGCAAATAACTTGTCTTTTCCTAGTTGCCAGACCTGATGGTTATTTGAATTACAGGCACTTCTAACAGGCCCCCCACTCAATCCCACTCATTCGCTTCTAGAAATCCTTTGCACTCATAATCTGCTTGATTACAGGCAACCAGTTCTGGGCTGTGAAAGGAGATTCCATGCTTCTTGGGTACCCCAAGCCCATCTACAGTCTGGGCTTCCCCAAAGATGTCACAAAAATTGATGCTGCAGTTTTCAATGCAAATGAAAAGAAGACATATTATTTTTCTTCAGACAAATACTGGAGGTATGACATAATGTCAGATATGATGCAAGAGGGCTTACAAATGGCTTTCATCTCTGTTTGGCAAAGCTGATAGTATCTGCATTTTAAAAGAAAGCAAGTTAAATGCAAAATCCACAGAACATAAATCAGGACCCCAACTAATACATTTTTCTGTCATTCCCTTGCCTGGATACTGGGCAGTTCATTTCCTGTGGGTAGTTCATAAAATGTGGGTAAAATGTGGGTAGTTGATAAAAATAATACAGAGTGTTTGTATGTATACCTTATTTTACCAGCAAGTGGCAACGTGTTGCATTGCATTATACATTTAATATCAAATCAAATTTTTATTCAGTCATAGGCCAGCAAATAGAACAAGAGAATCACAATTAATTAGGCTAAAAAATAATTATTCTAAAATATCTAAGAAAAATTAGAAGAGATACTACGGCATACGGTACAAATTATAGAACTAAAATGTTTTGGCATTATTTCCTTTCCAAACTGATTAGTGCCCTCTAATGGTAGCTACATATATTATTTGTCTACTTGATAGAAAATGTTATTTCTTTCAGAAAGTAACTACTGTAGATTTTATTTTGGGGATGAAAAATAAGTTGAATTATAGTACATTTTAATGTCTATGAGGTGCATTTACTGACTAAGCCAATAAGGACAAAATCTCAGTAACCTAAAGGCTTAAACTGGTATGTGATATTATTGATTAAGATTATGAGTTGGTTGGAAATCATGGAATCCTAAGAGTTGGAAGTGACCTCAAAGTAGTTTAGACTTCAGCTTTAATCTATAAATAATACAGAATGGAAATAGTGCATCTACTTTGTATACAGAAGCCCCCAATTCTGGCATCTCTAGATAGAGCTAGAAAAGGCTCTGATGTCAATCCAGAAAGCCTCTGTCAGAGTACTGTTGTCTACTTGGCTGATCAGTGGTCCAGCACAGCAGGAAACAGCTTCCAATTTTCTTTCAACAAAGTAGTTTATAAGCTTTGATTATAAAACCAAACAGTTTGGGTTGGAGTTTCCATCCAAAGGAGTATTGCAACCTTTAGTCTCCACTGACAGAAATCTAATTTCCAAATCTTCTCTAAAAGGATTTTCAGTGCTATTCTATTGTGTTTGATCAGACCTTATCTTGAATATGGTGTCCAGGTCAGCAGTGTCACTTGTTGAAAGGGATACAGAGAACCTGAAACATGTTTTGAAAAGGGCAACAAGGGTCATCTAGGGGCTAGAAACTAAGTCCTTAACGGGCAATTTAAGGAATGGGAAATATGTAGCCTTGAGAAGACTGAGAAGGAATATATATTCTAGCACTGAAGATGTTACCTAGCCGGGTAACAAAACATTTGCAAGGAAACACCGAGCTCAGAGAACCCCAAGGACTCCACAGAATATGTATTCCTTTGAATAGTATTCTTCAAATACCTGAAAGGATGTCACACCAAAGAAGGTCAAGGCAGCCATGTTCTCTCTTGTTCCAGAATGCAGGACATTGTATGCTAGATATAAATTACAGGAAGACAGATTCTAACTGAATGTTAGAAAAACTTACCAAAAGCAGTATAATAATGAAAATTATTATCCAAAGAGGTGGAGTCTTCCCTCCGTTGCAGGTAGAAGCCCTCTGTCCAGAATACTTTAATTTAGATTTCTGCTCTGAGCAGAGGGTTGAACTAAATGACTCCTTCCAAATCTATGATTCTAATCCCAATTTCGGTTTGGCTTAAATTTCTTTCTTTTTGTTTCCTTTTCTAAGTTACAATGAAAACAGCCAAACCATGAACAAGAAACCCCAAAGGATTCAAGATGGCTTCCCAGGTATCACAGGCAAAGTCGATGCCGTCTTTCAACACAATGGTAAGGAGGAACTCTTAGAAGAAGACATTACTAAGGACTTTGTGCCAATGTGACTTTCTTTTTAAGGAAACTTAAACCAATGACAATTGACTTGACAGTGATTAGGACAAAGGTTCATAACTGGAGGCCCTGAGGGTCTTAATGTCGTAGTTGTGTCCTCCAGAGTCACTTCAAAAGGGTATTTTAAAAAAGGATATATTAAAGAAACTGTAATTACTCATTTGCTTGTATATTAGAACTTATAGGCCACTCCAGTCAGAACCAACCTTGAGTGGCAAATTAACTACTTGTGATTGTAATTATATAACATTTAACTCAAGTTTAATTTAAACTTTAGAACCCAAATGTTAAATAATTCAAAAAGTATTTAAGTAAAATTTATACTTGTCCACTGATTTCAGTGCAACCCTCTCTTTGCCCACCAAAGAATTATGCCCCCTTAGTTTGGATGAGTGGCACAAATCTTAACCCTTTCCGTTATGTCTCTCTCAATTTTGCTGCCCAGAAAATGTAGACAGAATCTGCCAGCAAAGCTATTCCAGGCTAGTGTGTTCACTGCTGCATTTCTGTACTAGCTAAAGTTTATAATTACTCTGCACTTTGACAGGTATTTTTCCATTTGTTTCAAATGTACATTATATTCACTTAAATTTGCTTTCTTTCCCCTTTGTAGATTTATTGTACTTCTTTAAGGGAACCAATCAATATGAGTTTGATCCTAACACCAGGAGAGTTACTCGGATCCTGACAGCCAACAGCTGGTTTTCATGCTGAGAAGATAAAGAAAAAAGTGTTGAAACATAAACTGGCTACTTTATGTTGAATGTCTAATCCAGTGTTGTGTATATATATGGTAATCTGTCGATACAAATAATTAAATTAGCAGTCCTATATATGATAATGTATATGATATATATATATATATAATTATATATGTGATATATGTGTTTTTCTTTCTTATTAATTTTAATTATGTATTTATTTATTGTTTTAATTTGTTGTAAACCGCCCAGAGTCCCCCATTGGGGGGAGATGGGCGGGGATAAGTTTGCTAAATAAAAATAAATAAATAAATAAATAAATAAATAACTGCTATGAGATTATTATATGCACAAGAATGGAAAGACTCTGAAAAACCCACAATGGAGGAATGGCTGGTGAAGATGACAGAATTACCAGAGATGGAAAAAATTGACTTCTGATTAGAGAAAGGACAAAAACCCCATTTATTAATGACTGGAAACACCTTATGGACTATTTGCTGAAAAAAAAAAAATGAACTTGTGATCTATGGGTTTGACGATTAGAAAGGGTAGACTAAGGAAAGAAGGGAATTATGTTGTAACCTTGGAGAGAGGGAAAACTATAAATGTAAATGCTATTAAGAAGATTGGAAGCCACTTCTTTATGACTTTCCTTTCCTTTCCTTTCCTTTCCTTTCCTTTCCTTTCCTTTCCTTTCCTTTCTTCTCTATTTTTTCTTTGCCCTTTTTTCACTTATTATTTTTCTTTACTTTCCTTATTTTTTTCTTACAAAATTTGTATTGTTCTTATTCTCTTAACTTTTTAAAATAAAAATTATATATGTAAAAAAAAAAATCAGCAGTCCTATAATCCATTTATCTTACCAAGGGATCATAAATCAACTGTGCCAAAAGACCACAATGAGGAAATCTGTATATATGAGTAGAACGATCCTTGATATTTCTTTTTGTTCTGCTAAATCGTCCTGCCAGTTTTTTAAATGGAAACTGACATGCCAGTTCAGACTTGCAGCTCACCAGGGGATGGGATCAAAAAAGTCACAATGGTGTCTGTCACTGCAAAATTTGTGGTGGCGGCTACCATTGTATTACAAGTTGAAAAAAAAGATACGGCTTCAATTGTGCACTCTTGACTTTTTTGACACACGCACACACTCCATGGATGTCTTTACTTGCAGCTAGCTGAACAAAGAAAAGGTTTCATGCTACATAGCAGGCATTTAGCTCTCTGTATAGACAAATTTTGCCTTTTCATACCCATCCCAGCCTCACACAAAGGCCAGCCCAATTATTTTGCCACACCTGGCAGAAAATCTGGCAGAAGTTCTTCTCATCCATTACACAATAAGATAAATAACACAAGCAATAAGAAGATACTTTGCTCTCCTTTCAAGACATCCACATTTTGCTGTCTGAACAGGCTACTTCATTCTGCTTAACAAAGTTTCTGTTGTATGCATAGTCCTAACTGAAGAGTGAAGTTAGGAGGTAGACTTTCACATTCAATCTACACAGAAACTTCAGGAACCACTCAGGTGATATATATGGAGTGTCTGTTATGCATAATACTATGAAATTAGATTACAAAATGGATTTGTAATCTCTGGAAACAGCTTTAATAATTGGACAGGATCCAAGGTGCTTCTTATAAAACTTATGATCTTTCAGGCTAAGTTTCCAAGATAAATAAATCCGTTCCTTTATGGTAATAAACTCTTCCAGGTGTACATATATACATATGTTGCAATACCACTGAGAGAAAACATTGTAGAAACCTTTGGGCTTGAAGTTCATTATTTCATTTTTAAGGGAGTTCCACCAATACTGAACACTACTTTTTAGTGTTTCATAAGATTGTGTGTGTGGGTGTGTGCGCGCGTGCGTGTGCATGAACTCTTATTTAAATTAGTTCCTCATCTTGTTTCCCTCAAATATTGATTATTGAAAATTACAGCTTTGAATGGACAAATGTTTATTTGTATATATTTGGATTTTTTTTAAAAAAAATCAACTTGATTATTCAACAATAAAGTACATTTTGGTGTGATATGTTTCTGGTTTTTGCACTGACCTTGCATCACTGTTATCCTAGGAAGTTTTAACTAAAGCAGCTAGACATAAATAATAAATAAACCATTCTACCACTTCCCTCACCAATTTTCGTGGCATGAAGAAGGTTTTATTTAGTGTGGAAAATAAAAGTTTGGTGAAGTAACATGATTTGAAGGATTTGAAACTCTTTCGCTACATCCATACAGGAATATACCTATGTTTAATTTACAGAAGGGTAGAGATTGGTTGGACATTAGAAGAAATTTCTTGATAGGAACAATTCAACAATGCAGCCATATGGATGGCTCTCACCAAGCCATGATTTCATCTAAATCATGTTTGTGTGACATCATGATAGAAGTACAAAAGGGGCAGCTTTCATTGTGACCCTACAATGCACATTTGATCATTTGTCCCCTTTTCCAAACACCCATCACTAAATACCTGAAGTGGGGATCTTTCCACACTTGAGATATTCAAGCAAAGGGGGTCAAATAACAATGGGGAATGGTCATTGCTGGGTTTCCTGGATTAAGTTGTGGGTTGAAATGGATTATTTACGCTATCCTTTTCAGTTGTAGGATTGTATTATCATTCACCAACACATATATTATGAAATCATTGTTGCAATACTGAATGAGGAAAGCGTGACAGATAAAAACTAGATCTGTAAAGATGGATAGTGAAATGGCCAAAGTTTGGTGGATAGATAGCTTATCCATTAAATTTATATTCCACATTTTTTACTGATCATGAAAACTGAGAAACATATGAAGCTACCTCACACTAGCTATATTCACATAACATTTAAAACAGGTTAGTACAACATGCCAATTTTGATTAGTATTAACCTCAGGTAGGTTTTCTATGGCTTAGCACATTATGCAAACTCAGTTCATTTGATTAGTTTATGGTTTAATGTGACACACAACCCCAGAAAATGGGTTGATGTAATAACCAGATTCTGCATTCTGTGAACATAGCTACTGAATCAGATCATTGGTTCATCTAGTTCAGTACTGTCTACACTTGCTGGTTGGAGGCTGTCTCAGCTTAACTGGGATCTTTTGGTCTACCATTAAGTTGTGCTCTATCATAGAAGCTATGACCCTTCTCCAATTCTTAAGCAGAGGTCCACTTAGAAGAACTGACAAGATCCAGACCTGAAGAAGAAAGCACCACTTTAGGGCCTAAAGTTTATATCACGTTCTTAGACTAGCTCCTACATGCAATTACAAGGCTGATGAAGTAATCTTCAATAATTCTATTTGCTAATATTTCTCCAGTCCTCTATCTTTATAAGCCATTACTAAGAGAGGGAAATTTCTCTTGCATCACTCCCCTTTGCGTCATTCTCTTTCTGTGAGGCTTCCCAGGGCTTGCTGAAGCTTACTAGGAGTAGGCAGCTGTTCTTCCAACACG